ATTTCATTGACAATAATTTGTTGGTATTAAGGTCATCATTACTTTGAAATTTAATTTCAGTTTATAATTGAGACGTAGAAGCGTGACCCTGAAGTTGTGGGGCTTTTTTACGTGCGCCAAAGTATGTAATAAATCAAATAAAATAATCCTTATTCCCTAGTAAATAATACCTATTCTATTGTGGTTTTCACCGAACATTGAATCCTTGTAATCGTAAATAAGAAGTTTAAGCTTTAATCGAACTAACATGCGAAATGGTAGCAGTTCATACATTCTGGAGACATGCTCAAATAGAATTTGTTTGTTCTTTGACTTTGAATGAAATTTAATGTTCTTAATCCTTTCCTTTATTTTGTCGACAGCTATTCACAGAATAGCTTGAGTTATGTAACAATTTACAAGCTTTAAGCTCGACTTGAGTCGTCCATTGCTCTAACCAAGAGAGTCGAAACGAAAAATGCATGAAAAGTTTTCCCGCTTCGATGCGGATAGACCCAACTTTTTGAGCTGCATTCGAAACTCATTTAGATAGACGACTTCAGGCGAGAATTTTGCCGCGCAGTTTGCCCTGCACGTGCGTGTTACCGTGTTTTGCCACGTCCAATGTGTTGTGCGTCTGTTACGGTGAATCACACAATCTGGCACACGGGCCGTTAGAAGGGCGTACCGGCTACCTGAGCCCACGCAGCCCAGGTAAAAAGTAAAGACACAAGGGGGGAGGGGGGGGGGGCGCTGCCTCTGTGTCCTGTCCGCAAATTATGCCGCTTTGATTCCGACGCAGTCTCGGCTAAGTGGCATACAAGTGATGCGCCTTGTGTTACCTCCTTGCGATTAAGTCCTTCTTCCTTTCCTCAGTTTTGCTCAGATTTATATCGCCTAATGTCTTCTTCCTTGCTCGATGTGTACGCAAAGTGCACGCCTTCGGTCAGTAGGAAGGTTAATTGGCCTGGAAAACATTTACCTGCGTTTATTTTTCTCATCAGACTCACTTTTTGGGCAGTTTTAGTTGGTGATATTTGACGCAACATCCATTTGCAATTTTCGGTTTAGCGTTCTATGCTCCTTATTTATTTACTATCTATAAATTCCTCCACCTTTAATTAATTATGTATCTTGCACGGTACATAGCTTTGTAAGCGAATTTTAAATTGTTTGCCCATTATTTTATCACAAAGACAAATCTTATAAACTCCGAAAACTAATTAAAACAAGTCATAAGGCCTCGATTTTCCTGTTTATTCTCAAATCCGCTCTTTGCCTTATAATTTAAGCGCCCTTCTTTGTGAAGGAGAGAGCATAAGCTTTAATGGAAAGTTAATAGTTACGAGAAAAAAATGTAATAATCAAGTGGAAAGTTCTGGAATAGCTATTCCAGAATTTTTCATTTGATTATTTTAATCTAATTAATGCGAGTTCGTAAAGATTGTTTTGCACGTATTATATTATCAGCGGTTTTTTCACCCATGGAAATCCGTAACCAGGAGTAAAGTTAAAGTGGCAGTTAAAACTAATGAGTATGCGGCGTCGAGTGACCTCGTTCAAGACGAACAAGAAAAGTGTTAGTGCTTCTAACGTACGTTTTAGTACTTGTTTCTACAAATTTTAATGTTTAATCTTAAGAGCAGAGATTAGCACTATAAACTAAATAGCAATGAAATCTCTCTTTCGAATTATAGTTGTAAAACGATATTCGAAATTGTTTGTATGCTAGAAAGGACTATAACAATGGATGCGCCAAGCATTGCTTCTAATGCTAAAACACAATTCAGATATAATGCGTTGAGATTTTCATCGGTGTGGCAATCAGCCCGTTTAGCTTAGTGGCTACAGCGTCAGGGTGCGAATCCCGAAGACATAGGTTCGATTTCCAAGGGCCAGAAATTTTCATGCTTTTTTCTACAAATTTTAATACGTTGTCCTGTTTTCTGTGAGTCAGACATCGGCCTTGGTAACGTTATTAATAGCGTTCGGAAGACATAACGCACTGCCTCAAAACTTTGTAAGATATTTAAAAAAATATCAAGTACCGTATTTTGCATTAATAACGCATGTTAGTTCAAAAATGAGGTTAATTTTGTAAACACAGTAATAAAAAAAATATGATTAGTAAAAAAAAGAAATAGAAATGCGCATATTGTGCGCCACTATTTAACTTAATAATTATTGAATCTTCAGATAATCAATAACATTTCCTAGAAACCATTTTGATGTAAAACATATTAGATAATCCGTCAATCCTTCATACTTTGCTCTCGAGGGAAGGGGGGGTTTTAGCCGGCTTATATTAAAATTGAAAAGTTGGAGGGATTATCCACTGCCTAAGCTACAGAATATGAAATTTATATCAGACACTTTAGACACTTCAGACAAGTGTATTAGAGTAAGTTTATTTGTCCCAAGAGAACCCGAACTGTAAAGACCCATACGGAGCACGCTCGGGGAGAACTTATCTGCTGATAGTTTGAACTGTTTGTACCTTTGACCACAGAAAATAATTTGAAGTGTTGGGCGATCACGGAACGACCGGCAGCTCCAGCTATGTTAACATTATAATTTACAATTAATAGAAAGCAATAACAAATATGGAGCAAATTAAAAAAGAAAGAATAGATTTTTTTAATAAAATCAATACATTTTCTTATTATTAGTTTTTTTATAATAATTACATAACACTGTGTATTTAGTATAATACACACAAACAAGGACTTAATTAGGCTTTGAATAGTTTCACAGAAAAAAAATCTTCGATTATCATAAATAATAAAAAATAAGCAACGAAATAAACAATAACGGAAAGTCACCTGAACCGATTTGAGGAGAAAAAAGTTATCTTCTCATCAAATGAAGAAATAAATTTAAAACTTTATACTGAATAACGACAAAGTACAATAAAACAAAAGCGTTTACTTGATAAGAAGATAATCGTAAAATTTTGGCACCGAACCTCATATGCCTAGCGGATCTGTCTGTGCGTTGCACAAATTAATTCGTAATTAGTGCAACCGCCCACACACCTCTTGATGCTTTGGCGTGTTACGTACTTATGTTATGGGACGGAAAGAAATTTCCGTTGCCTCCCCTGCAGCGGCCCACTTAGCGCGAAGGAGTATTCGTTGTATATCCGATACGTAATTGTTTATACGGTCGAAGTGAAAATTCCTTTGTTCGGCTTAGTTGTTTCTTTGCACAGGGTTCTCGTAAGCTTAACGATCGGTCAGTCCTACTGCTTGCTCTAGACAAAACCGGTCATAATTATGTAGAGCTTAGATAATGAGGAATACCTTATTATACTAATTACGAGGAGGAAGAAAAACTCTTAAAAAAAAATTACATACACATCTTATTAAAAACTCCTTACATGAGCATACATACTGTATCATCGTGTAATGATTTGAGAATTAGTATATTATGTTATGTAAATTGCTACAGTCCGAAGGAGGCTCGCTCTTCGCACCCCTAGATCGATAGAATTAAACCCGTAACCGCCCCGCGCCGTGGTCATGGCTGCCGTGAAGCTCTCGAAACGTCTGCAAATTAAAACGGCCGAGATCACAGCGAGGAGAAAAAGGGAAAGCATATTTTCATCGCTGATAAATACTGGGAATTATCTTATTTTTTTGTAGTTGAACTTTCTGCTAATAAGACGGATAACAATTAATTAGTGATGGCTTAAGCTACTTCGAAAATCAGGGCTGCAAGCTGCAACGCTATCCGAACAAATATTGTTTTCTTTATAAAAATGAATCATGATATTATATAATAATTGATTATAATAATAAAAACCCCATAATAAATATGTAATTAAATATATATTTATTACTTATTCCTTCACAAAATGTACATAACTAATAAAGGCACATAATAATTCGTTTTAGAATGTTTTTGCCGTATGACTCATATTGTCTCAATAGGATTTTGTTAATTTCTGCATTGCAAATGCCAAAATTTTGCTTGCCCTAGTTTTGTCGATATTTTTTTTCAAAACTCCTGTTTCGCAGACGTTATTAGGTACAAGTATATGTGAATGAAATTTATCGTTAAAAGCGCCGCACAATCTAAATCTCATCTGTTCATATCGCGAATGTACTTTCCTTTTTTTTTTTAAATAGATGTTGATTGCATTTGTCAAACGCTGTCCATCTTGGAATGGGATTAGGCGATATTGAAATGGATGCCCCCATTCTCCATGGCTCAGTCGGTCTCGTACCGACTGTAGATTCTAATTCCAAACGCAATTGATTTTCATCTGTGCAGTATCTGCTGCTCGCTCGGCGAGAATAAGTTGCATTGGCAATTGTGTGACCAGACTTTACTGTGAGCCCCCGATTCTCCATTAATGTTGACACATAGATAACACAAGTGACACGTAACTAGGCCGCTAAGGGTAGTTACATTATCGCATGCACTGAGGACAGATTACATTCAAATATCTTTGTTCAAGAAGCTTGTTGAAGAAGCACTATTCTTATTATTATTTTATTTAATATACATAATATTATTCTTATCTTTATTCAATATAGAAGCACAGGTTACCCTTACTTATTGATTGTCAAAAAAGACTACCGCTTTGGAAAAAAGTCACTGACCTGAGAAGAACTTAAGAAAGCAGCGGGACTATTTCTTTTTGCAATTTCACTAAATAATCATGTAAATAATTTAGTTAATCTACGCAATCTACATGAGGGCATAATTAACTTGTTTGTTCCAAGTATTTAATATTATGCACATTACTAAATATTGAAAATTCATTCTTATTTTTATGGATATAAATATATACATAACACATGACTGTACCGAGAAGCAACAGTCAACCAATCCATCAACCCACCAACGAACCAATTTGACGATGCTCGCTACTCCCGTCGACATACATTAGGCATCCTTTAGTTTCTGAATAAAGTACGTAGTATTTGTATTGAGCAAATATTACGTACTTGGTTAGCTATTAAATGTGGCAACAAGGGCTTTTGGAATGATGAAAAAGGTTGGTTTGATTGTCGATGGGGTCGGGCCTGAAACTGGTCCAGGGCTGGCTCCGACTTGGCGGGCTGCTCCTGTTGGAGGTGACGCTGGCGCTGGCGCTGGGGCGTGCGGGGCGGGGGGCGCGGGGCGCGGCCTGGGGAGTGCGGCGTGGGCCACGTGCGCGCCTCGCCCGTTGCCTGGCGACGGCGCGCGGGCGTCGGGGCGCGGGGGCCACGGCGCGCCGCCGCCGGCGCTCGCACGCCCGCTCGCGGCTCTCGCCTCACAGTACTGCCGACACCGGGCCGGCGTGTGCACCGCTTTTAGGCGCGTCTCGATCTCGCATCGAGATCACTTCGCCACTTCGGCACCCCTCGCTGCTTACACGTTTCCAAGCTGTACGCCATAATGATGCAGACCACGATGGAGATAGACCTGTCGCCGGGGACCTCCGGGCCGGACTCCCCGATCTACGACGAGTATGCTAGGTAAGTGCCGCGTAGGGAACCGCTGAGCCTCGTCGGCATTATTTATAGTATGCCCTACTAGTTTCCGCGAAACGCGCGCGCGTAGCCATAGTTTGTTGTTCGGGAGCTTTTGTTTATTCGCGGGGCACCGGCGGGCACCGAGGCGCGAGTACCGTTGCCGGGGCCGTCGTCGGCCCGCTTTGGAATATGTAGCTGCACCCGCGTAACGGGTTTCCGAATGTGGCGCGCACGTCCTCCTGCCGGGGAGCGTTCGCGCGCGTGCGGGAAACGGCCGCGCGGCCTGTGCCGCTTAGAGTGAGTATAGTGGGCCTCGCGTTATCTGAGGAATTTGTATTGAGCCGTGCGTTGCACCGGCGGCCGCCGCGCCTCGCGCCCTCGCGTTGTTTACGCGGCGGCGCTGCCGAGGCGAGCTGATAGCCAACGCACTACCTACGCCGACGACGGACTACGCGACCGGTTTCGGGCTCACTCAACGGAACGCCGTTGCACCCGGTGCACTGCCGCCGTGGCCAGCATCGATGTGCTGTTGTTGTCGTCTTCGTTGTTGTTGTTGTTGTCGTTGTCGTTGTTGTTGTTGTTGTTTTTGTTGTTTTCGTATAGATGTTGCGACTGTTTCTCTTCCCCCTTAAGACGTTGGTACGAATGCGGAATGGATGAAAGGGCAGAACCCGTCGAAACTTGTCCGCAGAACATTCCAAATGTTCGTAGCATTTGGAGCGCAATTGCTTCGCAGGATATATTGATACCTATATAATATCGTTTACAAATTATTCATAAAGATAAGTGAACAAAACCTACCTGAAGCACAATATACCTAACAAATGCGTCAATTCCGCCAAAGCATTGCATAATTCATTAAAATCACGGTCATTTATTTGTCTGAAAATCTGAATTTCAATTGAAACTACGAATAATATTGCGATAATGTAAAAAACCTTATGAATTGACAATACATAAGTAGTTGATCATTGTTTTGCCTGTACGTTATTATCTTGAAACTTCTGAATGCTATCCTAAAAAGTATTTTTATCACAAAAAAACACCTAAGTAAAAAAGGCTGTAAAAATTTGGGAGTGTTTGTTACTAAATTTGCAAAGTATCCAATGGCCATATAGTGTTCACTTTCAAAGAGTGGCAAAGTCGCAAACACTGTTAAACGCAGCTCCCACACCACATGAAAGGTGCAGTAGGTAAATGATTGGCCTCGAACGGAATGGCATTCGCGGAGTAGATAAACAACTAGGCACTGCGTTCCGCTAGGCAGCTTTGCCCAGGCACTTTAAGTTGCCTACCTACCGCCAATGCCGTACTTAGTATTTAAAACGGGCACACCGCTAACTTGCACTATTTCTTCTGTCCGAGTTTGATAATATTGCTCGCTAGCCGTTCTTACCCGCCCACCTGTACTGTCATATTGTAGTCGCTTTTTTTTTTGTGAAAGAACTGTAGGTATAGGGTTTTTTCAGGAAGTGATGCGGTGCTGCAAAGCATTGTCGCTAGGCATCCAGAGAGCTGGCGTCCTAGGATATGGATAGAATCTATCGATACTATTCTGTTTTTGCCTTTGTACGTCTCGCGGGATTCCAATATTTTTTCCATCGACGAAATTAGAAAAATGACATGGTTTAAATGAAAAAAATGTGCTTTAATGTTAACGAGGATAACTGCAAACACGAAAGTTTAACATGTTTGCTTTGTACGATAATTAACCATCGCGGGCACTAGTACTACTAGTACATAACTACTACTAGTAGTAGTACATGGCGGGACGCGTGCGCATTAACCTGGATGCTCCCAGACGCGGGGGCGAACTCGTCTATCGATGGGAAAATCGATGTGGCAAGTTTATAAGAATCTGAAAGAGCACTAAAAATCCTCCAGCAAATAGCAACAATTTGTGATTCCTCCGGTGGCCCGCCTGCTCGCACCTAGGCGTACCAGTTGTATCGTCATCATCGTTTCAGTGTGTTTGAGTTGAGATGTTTTTTAAAAAAAAAATAGTCCCCTGCTGAATATTGGCCTCACACCCATACACTGCCACGAAGTACGAACCTGAGCCATGGACATTGAATGATAAATAGTTCGGCAGTAAATATACATAAATATGTCAGTTCCATTATTTAGTACTATGTTTTTCACGGTAGCATTAACAATAATGAAAAGTGCAGGCCTTCTAAACATAGGGAGCATAATTTTTATATGATATGGTACGGCTACCACCGGTTTATACCATCATCATTTAAGTCTATTTGAGTCCTCTCCTGAACATATCCCCCACAGACTGCCACCAAGCAGGATCCTGAGGCACCTGTTTACACCAATGAGCGAAATATTAAAAGGAGTATTGTCGCTGTTTCAGTGGAATTTGCCACCTTTTTGTGTCATTTAAAGTTTTCTTCTAAGAAGTTATATATTGATGATTACTAAAATTGTTAAGATATAACATTATTAATTTCGATTACGTAATCAAAATGTAGGTGAATTTGAGTTAGTATTACAGTTCATTGTTGAAACATCATATATTGAATTTTTTCCAATGTTTACGTTAATTCCTCGTCATTAATTGGAAAATTTATAAATAACATTCTCTTAATGCCGATAGTAATGCGTTGATGCCCATACGCCAGTGCGCACGTTATTATAATCTGAGGAGAATGCATGCGTGTTGTTCCCTATATAGATTGAAACTGACGCTATATTTCATTACAGACAAAAAACTGTGCAAGCCAGATACGCCCGGTTTCTGAAACACTGATCGTAGTAGAAGTTAACCAATCAGCTGTCAAATGGCTTTTCACATGTCATTTGAGTGGCCAAAAGGATGGTTAAACATTATCAATTGATCAGAATGATCTTAATGATCAGAATAATCAATTACTGTCAACAATCCTTTTGGCAACTCAAATAACATGTGAAAAGCCATTTGACAGCTGATTAGTTAACTTCTACTACGATCAGTGTTTCAGAGACCGGGCGTATATCTGGCTTGCACAGTTTTTTTGTCCCTAATGAATCATTAGACTCTCCGAATCAATTCGACTGAGTAATCTCACAAACGTTTGATCGCACTCCTTTTATTAATAATCGTTTTGCCAAGACAAAATTTTTATTGATTATTAATTAGAAAGACGCTGTTGAGAGCAATACCAATTTTTGAAAGTTACTTATTTTTTCCTCGCGTTTGAGGAAAATTATGTTTATTTATGTTTAGTTTGAATTTGGACAATGCGCGCGCGCCAACACCGACACCTCAAAACGACATCATAAATTTGGTTGCGATGCAATACCAACTTAGCAGTGTTACCATTTCATCCGATTACAACTTTTTGGACCTACTTATAAATTTTTACCTATAAATGCAAGTTTTTTAATTAAATCGTTATTAATTGCTTTTATGTATTTATTTTGTCCTCTTTTCACAAACACACATAAAATTCTTAGTTATTGTTTATTTTAATTCAGTCTAAAAGTTTGTTACGTTAAAGAAGTAACTACTTACGTGCGTAGATAAGTACACACACGGGTGTTTTTTTTTTTGTTTCTTAAATGAAGCAACGGTGTGCTGCTGTCACTGAAAATGTCTACTGTATGTAACAGTTATCGCGTAAGTGCAGCGCGTCAATGGTGTTAACAATCATAAAGTTTATGTAATAATGAAAGCTAAATCTGCATCTAAAATAAATAAGAAAAACTCCCTCCCTTACCAATAAATCGAGACACGAACTGCACAGGTTTATAACCGTCGCTTTACATAGGTATGTATAAGCGGGACCCAACTTTGTCACCGTAGGATTAGTGTCACTGAGATAAATGAAAGGGAATTGAAATAACCTTTTGCAAGCATCTTCGCTCCTGTCAGTTGTAATAATCCATTTTTAGGGAGATGCAACTTAATCTGCAAACTGGAATTGCTTCATGGGAAAGATTACTTTAAAGAACCGAGATGGAACTCGATTTGAAAGTACCGGCTCTCGATTTTGCTAATAAGCGTTAGGATCGCTACTGCATAACTTGTTCCCCCAAACATGCCAGCACTTGATGACGATTAACAGTCATTCTTTGTATTGTATAATATTAACAGTATATACGTTTTCGTAGGGAATGTATTTATTTACGCATTCGCCGAACTATTGCGAATTTATAAAAATTAAATAAAAATCCTTTTGTAATCAGTACCCGTTGGCCGTCTCACGATTTTTATTACCACTTATACGTATATACTTAAACTCCGTATTTTTGCGATAACCACGTCCCCATCTAAGGGGTAAAAGTACCAAGAAACCTGACAAACTAGGTTTGAAATAAAATGAAAATAGTGGATTCCATCTTTTCTCTGCTGCTTAGTAAATAATAATAGTTTGAAATGTATATTTTTATTAATCTATTTAACAGTTATTTCCTTTTAACAACACAATGTTCTTCCTTTCTATTTCAATGTGAGCAGATAAATTACAATATATAACAAAATTTGAACTTCGACTTAATATAACAAGACAAAACTTTTCAAACGTAATAAAATACATCCGGCAAAAGCGCACGGCTCATCTTCCACTCTCTAGTTTAAATAGAACAATCGAAAAATATTCCTTTTGAGCTCTCGATGGACTGTGAAAAAATCCAATCATGAAATTTGAATTGACATGCCATATATCTGTTTCAGTCTTCTGGTAATTTCATTGCCGAACGTTTTGTAATTGAGCTCTTATCCCTGAATTAATTTTTCTAACATTTCAACAGGAACTCGTTTTCTCGGATAGAATTTAAACTTCTCGGCGCAACTTTGAGAACAGTAAAAGTCCTCGAGAATACTATATGCGTCTGGCGAACAACCAGCGTCCGTTAGATAATTAATAATTTTGAACAAACGCGCCCAACTGCACATTAGTCATTTGGGACCAACTATCAATGAACAATCCGACCACTCGAAACCCTCTGAAAGTAAGCATGCTTATGAATGGGATTACATTGGGCATAGGCCCGAAGGCAGGACCTGCGTTCATACCTTATAACATCCAGCCGGCAATGGACAAGGCATTCGTGCCCTACTGTACGACAAAGAAGTTTTCCTAGTTAATTTTCAAATCCGACCCGCTAGCAATTTCAATCGCCGTATGAACTGAGCGCTTATTAATCTTATCCTTTAAACGAGCAATTCTTGTATATATATATATAATCGGAATTTCGGAAACAGCTCCAGCGATTTTCATGACATTTAGTATGTGCGTAGATTCGGGGGCGAAAAATCGATCTAGCTAGGTTTCATTTTTAGAAAATGTCCTTTTATACCTGTTTTCAGGGAATGAAAAATATAATTCGAATATGACGGTAAATTTCGCCGCAAAATGTCATAATAGCTCGGTCGGTAATCGGGCGGCCCCAAAACAGACGGCCGTGGTTCGCGTCACGATCATTTACACATTTATTTTTGCTTTCTATATTTTTAATTTTTTGTTGATTTGTTATTTTGTTATTTTTGTCCCTTTTTTTTAAAGTTATTTCTTTTGTGAAAAACATCAGTTCGTATTTTCTTATTTTTACGTCGGTAAGATCGAAAAATATTATGCATATTTCATTACTCAGTAATTTGTATCTAAATGTAATTTCCAAAATACACGATTTACCAAAAAAACAAACCGAGCAAAGCTCGGTCCTCCGGGTACTTTATCATTATATACCGACCACTGTTAGATTAGCATTTGAAATTTTTGCCTCAGATGACAATTTGTCAATGGTTCACATGCCATCGTCCATTAATGGTGATGGCACATTTTACAACTCATTCTTTCGTTCGTCGCTAAAAAGGAGCTCATGTGATGGTACATTTGTGAAAAATAATATAAGGCCGATAACATTCGGAAAGTTCCATTCGTTTTCTCGGAGTGAACGTAAGCGAGGGATTAATTGTGCCATTAAAACGTCAGCAAACAATCCACAGCCGCCAGCGGCAGTGGTATGTTAAAGAAATGAAAATTCAACCAAAATGTAATAACTGGTAATAGTTTTCCTTTTAACAAATTATTATTAAGCTAATTAGTAAGTTGAAGAAAGTTGTTCAGCTTTACGCGCTGTGATGAACTTATTTCTACAGAATAATTAATATCTTGTTTCTACTCGAAGCTACACGCTACCTGACTACTCGAAGACGAAAGTTGGTTTTGAACTAAAAGGAGTAATGACGCTGCGTATAACTTTTTCATTTCCTTCCGCTTCTGAGTAACCTGCAGTCCTCTCAAAACTTGGACTGATCTCTTACGGAGAATACCTAGCGCTCCATAAACAAAAGGAAAGCATATTTTTTCTTTCTTTCTTTCTTAAATGTTGAAGAAACTAAATAAAATCAAGAAGAAGAGTAATAAAAGTCTGTCCATTTGGCTCTTAATTGTTTTCGCTCTCTGTTAAAGATCGAAATGCGCCCAAGTTCATAATATTGTGCCGATTCATTTTGTATATCATAACAAAAAGCGCACGAGGAATTTTGGCCCTTGCCGCATGCGTCGTACCTGACTCGTACACGCCGATACGGACGGCTGTGTCTGCCGAGACTACGAAGAAATTTCAACCAGCGGGTTCATTGTACTTTGACACTTAGGCGGCGCATTGATCATCGTTACGCGAACACTAGCACGCTAGCGGCTCGCTTTACGGATACAGCATAGTCGTAAAACGTCGTACACAGTATAGTATGCCGATACTTGTTTGTATCGGATACGGTGAATGGGAACGGACCGGTGCGAGTTGCGTTGTGGAAACTATGCGATAGAAAAAGTTGGCGAACGGGCCCGTATGGGGTTGGGATGTGCAGAGGATAGCGGGAGGGGGAGAGTGGGGGGGGGGTTTACAGGAGGACCTGTTGCGTCGCGCGCGGCGCTCCGTCGATCGCTTTGTTATGCTTGGCAAGCCCCCACGCCCGCGATAGCGAGAGTTGCTGGTGCAGCCTCGATGCTAACGTGGGAACGCTCGGTATCAGTCGACTCCACGGCGTGTCCTCTAGCTCTGCGGAACGTGCCGCTGACGAGGCACTATCCCAACGCTGACCAAAGTTTACCCCTGCTCTCGAATAACACGTCCGCTTGTAAAGGCAAATAGTAAGAAAAAATAAGTATTTTAGATAGTATAAGTATTGAACGGGATAAGACTGGTCCAATGTAAAAAAAAATATTTATTTGTCTCCGCGCCAACCCCTTTATTGCCTTACTAGTTAAATCCTTAGTTACTATTATTACTATTAACTAAGGAAGTAGTTACCATTTACTTTGCATTATAGTTTGATACTATAATGGGTGATCCCCAAACCACGCAGTCCGACACCTACATATCCAATGAAATCAATTCCAGCTGCCACCCACCTGGCATTTTCTGAATGTTTGCAACCATTCGGCGTTTGGAAGTAGTTTAAATATGTATACGATCTACTTGGAAACGGCCTGCATTTAGCGGGGTGAGCGGTGAGCGCCCACTGACAACGACTAGTTAAGCGTTACTATTTATTAATTCAATACCCCCTTTTTAATATCGGCGAACAACCATGGCGTTATATGTGATCAGGCTCTGCAAACGGCGAAGGCTTTTATAACACACGATTGGTAAATAAACTCATAATTATCTCGTGCTTTGTAAACAGCTGCGCTTGTGTGGTTAGCGGGTTCCCCGGATAGGTCCCCCAATGCGACTCCTATATATGATTCTTATGTAACGTACCTGTTTAATTGCCTGACCCCCTGGCCACTCGGAATTAGTCCCGTCGCGTCAAAAAATAAAATACCGATATACCGTCAATCCGGTACACGGCACCTCCCCGCAGTCACCCCCTTGCGTATACTTTCGGCCGCGTGAGGTTTTTTCTCCTTTTTCTGTTTTTAAAGGGATAAGAGTCATTATCCCCGTAGGATTATGCTCGCCTCGCTGCGTTAACACTGTTCTTCAATTAGCGACCACCGATGTTTCGCTAATGCTCCATGCCTTACGCCCGGTTCCTTTATTCAACGAACGGCCGTTAGTTATTTGTCTGATCGCCTGGCTCCGTTACTTTGTTTGCCTTGTCTGTATGTTGGCGCGGCGGGCTCTGCGAACCGCTATTCGGTTTAGTTTGTCTGTTGGTTATAAGTAAGTTCAAGGTAATGCACTATCCATTCCTTGGATGAACCTAGCCAAATCGGTTTAACCTGAAGTATATTTAGTTTTATACGCTACGTTATAACAAAAGAACCCATGTTAGAGTCGTTTAGGAAACTTAAATCGAAAAAAAAAATAGACAAGATGCCCTTTATTCGTGTAGCGCGCGTTCAACAAGTTAGTTTCAACAAATTCACAAGTTAGTGGATACCTAATTTATAGTTGCGGTACATGTCCAAGCGATTAGAAACGTTCCCATGTAGCTAATCTGCTCCTGGACATAATATTTTGCTGAATAGCACTGTGACGACTCGTGTGACTTGATGGCGGTCGTTTCGATTGCAATTGCCAGCTCGACCGGTTAAGCACATATATCAAGGGATGAAATTAAAAGTATTTAATACGTTTGCATGTTTTTTTTTTATTTTAATCAATTTAACCAATTAATTTTAAGACACGGTTAATATGTTCAACGGCAAAATAATTTAAATATCAGAAATAAAATCAATATTTCTAGTTTGCAAGAAATCCAAGCCGGACATATTACATCTCCATCGTTACGTCAAGCTGCAATATTATCCATGCTAAGCTCCTTTGAAACTTGGCAAGATAACTCTTGTCACACAAACTTTATACTGTCCTCAAAGTTGTCTATTTGTTCGGTATGAGTTTGAACTAACCCCACGACCTCTCATAATCTCGTAATGTTAGATAGGTAGGCGTTAATTAGAAATTGGTGCTTAATAATTTGTACTACATAATTACAGAAAATAAGGCAGTTTTGCCGTTACTTTTTAGCTTTGCGTTATTTTGTTAAAATCAAGTTTTTCCAAATCCCCACCATATTGCCATAAAACACACCCTTGCCAAAAACTTTTTGCCTTTTAAATTAGGCATAGATAAATTTTAACAGACGAAAAGAAATTGATAAATGAATTGCTTTTCAATACCTTATCCAACAACAATGTATAATATTTTTATTTCTAACAGGAGGGACTTGTTTCAAAACGTGCGTTACACGAAAAGAGGGCATTGTGTCTATTTTTTTTCCATTCAAGTTTCCTAAACAATTCTAACATGGGCTCTTTTGTTGCGACTACGAACTTGGGCAGGTGATATGCCGGGTGTGAGACTGTGTGCCAATGTCTGTAATTTTATTTTAATACCACATAGGAGTGGGCGCTGGGTTAGAGTTATAACATTGTCTCAAATATCCCCGATATTTTACACTCAGTCTTTTGGACGTTCATTTATGTATATGTACAATTCTGTCTACATTCGTTTCAACTCGTCTCATCTCATCTGATGATTTTTATGAAAAAAGGGGCAAACGGAATTTTCATCTGGTGGAAAGTGACCATCGCCGCCCATGAATAGAATAGAATAGAATAGAAAAATCTTTATTAATCGTTCACAAACACCATTTACAAAAACCAAAATATTAAGAGAACATAAAAATAAATAATTTACTTACATATATTAAGTAATAATGATTCAATACAATGTTTTTGTATGCGACGACCAAGAGGTCTGTAAAAGTCAGCTCAGCATAAAGCTACGGTTAAGGCAGTGCTAATTTTCAACTGACGCCCTCTAATGTGAGTCACGGACAATCTGCCTAAAATATAATAAATAAATAATGCCTAGTAGAAATTTGAAATGATATGAATATCTACAACACCCGAGGGCTTGTCACGTTGCTGGCCTTTCAGGAGAGAACATGCTCTCTTCTTGAAGTTTTCCCGTCCGAAGGTCGTAACGGTTCGAAAAGACCGCCAAAGAGTGGCTGTCCGAGACGGGAAATGCGTTGATAATCGGGCTGTTCAGGAAGACGGTTTCAGTACAGACTGGTTAAGCGCCTGATTAACCGTTTGTTTCCCTAAAAGCCGCCACCTCAGTAGCAAAGAAATGAAGTGAAGGATTCAAACGTAGAGATGTACTGGCCATGTTTTCTCTCAAGATTTAGAATGGAAAGGGGTGTAATGTAACATATTATCTTATCTCTAAGCAGATTGATTTGAATTTTTTTAGTTTCTTGATTTTTCCAAGGTCGCACAATATTTCAAACGAATTCCAACGATGTACCATTACAAATCACCAAATTGCTTTGAATAGTGACTGATTGATTAAAAATTTTTGGTTCATTTTATGGTTATTTTTGTTTTTATTTAGTCGGTACATTGTAAGTACAACTGAAGTGGCTCTTAAATATTTTCCAATCATTTGGGTGTAGCAGTGTACATTGTTTTTGACTGGGAAAGCGGAACAAACACGTTCACAACTAATTAAACTGCGAAAACTTGTCCCACGAACCATGGGGGTGCACTGGAACCTTTATTTAAATGCGGGCAACCCTGCCCTGCGAGCTGAACCGCAAACCACTGCCATATCTGCCGCAACTTGTTGTTACTCCGTTGCATAATCGAGGGCTCTCCTTGCCACAGCTTTTGGCAGCGATCCGTCGAGTCTCCATTGAGTTTCGCCAGCGCTTTCTATAGGGTTGTCACGAGCTTTGTATTAGTATTTGACGAATGCACCGAGCGCTACTGCGAAATGTTTAGATGCTTTATATCTATATGTATGCCACGTGTATATTGCAGTATAAGCTTTTAAGCAATCCTTTTTTTTGTGAGAAGGTAGCAAATGAGCTGGCGGTTCACCTGATGTTAAGTGATAACCGCCACCCATTAAAATTTGCATCACCAGGATTGTTGCAGATCAGTTGCCACCTTTTAATAAAGTGGGCTCCGGCTACCTCACTCCGACCCGACGAATCGCAATACAACACTTATACTTCAGGTCGGGCAGTACCACTGGTCCGTCCGGGTAAAAGCTTACCTGCCTGCTGTAGGACCTGCCCATACGTGCAACAGAGAAGATTGTTGCGTGGCCCTACGACAGTTAAAATATTATTACGGTGTTCTTTTTAGATGATAGTCTTGGCTAATATGCGTGTTTTTGTTGGTAATGTGTGAAATTAAAACTAAGTGTATTTTGATGAACTAGGTATTCTAAATCTGTTTAATTAATACAGGGAAATCGGGCAAAATAAGTAATCATGAAAGATTTATTTTTTGGGACATGAAAAATCCAATAACATTTTCTTCATAATATTTTGCATAGTCATATATTACTGTACACGTTCTTATGACAAATTTGTTTGAGAAAGGACATCCGATATCTAATTGATAAAGGCCTATTCAGACTAAATCGGGCGGGGGGTGGTGGCGGGAGATCGGGATCGCGCGGGGGTTGTTTCTGAGCTTGTGATAACAAAGGGGTAGCGCGAACTATGAGGCGGGGTCAGTTTTGACGGGAGTGGAGGAACGTGGGGTCTTTAGGAGGGAGGTGGAGGTGGGGGGGGGGGGAGTGTTCTGTACGGGCGCAACCGTCAACTGTTGCGCCGCGCGTAGCGATATCAAAGTTTGCCCCGGTAATAGTGCTAGCTGATGCGAACTGGAACCAGATTATGCGAGTGGCGCGTGTGAGCGCCCATCAGCACTGGGCCACCGCGTCCGGGGACGCACCGGTCCGTTATACGGTGGTTTAGTTCCGCTCTTAAATGTCTCTGCGTCCGGTTCAAGCGCGCAAAGTCTCTCCGTCCATTCATTACAACGGGCTATCGAGATTAATTTAAGTTACTGTTTTTAACTCCAATTTAATCTTTCCATTCTTCAGTGTCCGGGCGGGGTCGCCTTTAATTAAATATTTAAGTGCTGACTAATCACATGCTTCAGCGTTGAAGTAATACGTCGTGACCATTTTGAAAATAATGAAAAAAAAAACAAAATTCGAATATATGTGAAGTCTACTACTACTACGAACTAGCAGTGGGGTCGCGTGGTGGACTATAATGTCCTAATTACCCTGTGCATTGAAAAGGCCACTGCCCAGCAGTGGACAGTGTGGACATATCATATGGGATGTTTACCTTAATTTACCTATCCATCTTCTAATACCTAGTGCATACTGCATTCTGTGGGTCCTATATTATGAGAAAAGATTTTAAATCTATAAAAGCATATATCACAATATCATAAAGTGTGGACGGCACAATATTCGTACTTTTAATATTCACTCCTGCTAAAAAGGTTTCACTGCCACAGTTACGCTTAGCTCTTGAAAGCCTTAAACTGTTTTAGATTTCGTTAATTACAGCCAGCGGTCGGTCGACCCCTGTGGTTAATTCGTTTAGCTTGAATTCAGTCCAGTTAAATTCAGGTCTCTCACATTCGAATTGACACAACATGAGACACAACGGGACAAACTAAAGATGGATAAATAGTTACGCCCCAACTTACGTACGTATAAGCGTTACAAGAGTTTGATTGATATGGGAATATATTTTAATCGCTGGTGAGTGTCGCAAACATCGTTGAACAATGCGGACATTTTATCGATAGCCTCGTTAGTCTAGGTCGACTTACACGGCATCTTAAAAGGGCAAAGGGTCTATGTGGGAACGTACTGATAACCCACGGAACCATTGCCCGAACCGATACGTTGCCCCACATAAAAAACTTTATTACTTTATGTGTGTCATACATGTCTCTGTACACGAAATAAATATATTTTACGCGCAATCCTTTTGTGTGGTTTTTGTCTAGACAGTAGATTGTCGAGGTCGGAGAATTCTCATTCAGAGGGAAGAATGCTTAGCGAATATCGCACGCCAAATTTAGCAATTAACCCGGATTGCGGGTGCCTCGTCCTCCTGTATATGCTACACGACTAGGTACACACAAAGTACCAGTGAAATTTTATTGTTTATTATTAAAACTATGGTCACTATTATGGTCCATCTTCTGACAGACCTGATCAAATGAGATCTAACACTTCATAATGTCATGGAGAACCCGGGTTGACGTTTAAATTTTATATGAAGGTAAATTAAGCCAAATTCAAACTTATCGCTACAATCAAATAATACACTAGAAGAAGAACAAAGTGAAAAACTTACATTTTGCATTGCATCTAGTTTCTACGGTAGGTACTTGACCGTAAAAGGCTTGTTTCTTCTTCGTTGTTTGGCGCGATGTGTCTGCTTCCACATCAGTGGCGTCGGGACTAACCATCATCGGCGAGAGTTGCAGGCCGCGGAGTAGAAAGGCATCGATTACTCCGCCGTGCGCCATTCCCCTCGATGTGTGCGCCGGCTCGTCTGTCGGCCGACGGTGTCTCGACTCTGTTTACGAGGCGGATCATTGCCGCTGCCCATCCGGAATCACTGTACAGTGTAGACGCCCGATCGAATGTCCTGTCCGGGCCGATATCCCGCAGCCATTCTGCGAACGCACACTCACTGGCCAAAAGACAGACTGACAGTCTTGCAAAAGGGGAATATTCGCGGGCGATTGTCGCTTGCTTCTCTCCCTCTTGTTCTGAGCAAAATACACAGATGCTGTGTGTTGAGTTTCGACAGTATAATTATATAAAACGACGCTTGTGTTTATAGCATACAGTGTAAATAGGAACTGCGTTGCGTGAGCAGCTTTTCTTGGTAATTTAGAAAACACCTAACGAGAGATATGATTAATGTCTGCGATTTAAACTGAAAACACTACACGAGCAATCGCCATATTATGTATGCAGAACAACTCTGTTCGATTGGCGTGAGTAATTGCCAAAACTTGCGCGCGGAACCTGCTCAGGCCCCTTTGAGTCGAAATTGAAATTAGTAAAGTGCTAAGCGATGAAGGGTGAAGATGGGTGTGTATACACGTAATCGAGGGGTGTATATGCGTTGATCCATTGACGCGGAACAGACTTCAGGCATATTCGGTATCGAGTAATGTGTTAAGCTGAAATCTCTGCGATACACTTCTCACTTCATTAAAAGTCGATTTTAATTTTAAACCTGACCTAGGTACAATTGATCGTACTGCTGAAAGCTGAAATGAACTTAATGCTATTGCCGTTTTTTAAGTACTTAATAAAATAATTATCGGGCGACATAATCAATTTTCAAAGACAATACATAAATATGGGATGCATAAGCTATAGAACAGTTTGATGAGTTGAAAGTCAACTGTAACACAGCTCGGTTCTGGCGCAACCTTTCTCAAAGCAAGAGAGTAAAGACACCCGTTGGTATCAACACAATATCCGGTTTTCAGCAGTCGTTTGAGTCCGCTTTGTAGAGGGAGGGGGGGGGGGGGGGCGAGGGGATATATGATGTTAACACACGAGAGGCATCAATGCGAAAATGTGATCAGTTAGAAACAGCTCACCTGGCAGTCCAAGTACTTATGGAAACCGCCGTAATATAGATCACACGAACCCATTGAGGTCGAACACAGAGCTGGCTGGAAACGCAAATATGCCGACGAGTGCCGTCGCCTCGTGCAGCTTACAGCGCTCTCACCTTTCATTTGTAAACGTTTAAGACAGTTTAATAAGCTCTCACAACAAAGACGTGCGCGACAATATAAATGGGCCGATGCAACCCTAGCGTCTTTTTGTGGTGATAAATTAAATATACGCGGAGATGCCTCTTTACAAATGATATAAGCGCTCACCGGGACGCAGCTGGGAATTGTGCTCAGAGCCGGTCGGACGGGGCGCAGGGCACGCGCTGCGCACGCGCACTTTCACCGGGGCTCTCGTCCTCGGTCCCCCCTCCCCCCCTCGCCCCGCCATCTCACCTTACACTTCCCTCGTCCCTTCACCTCACCCCCTGTGAATTGAAACCTCAACCTTCCCCCCCCCCCCCCCCCCACCCCCCACTTCGGCCAGCGTGCGATCGGAACATAGAGGCTCCGGCCACGCGACGTGGAACTCCGCCCCTGAATTAACACCTACTCTTGACTCAACACCTTCCGCCCTCACTTGGACCTTGCATCCTTTAAACGCGAGCGTTCCATAGTTGCATGGATACCAAAGATGGTATTGTATATAGATTGATTATTATATAGATTGGGGTACCTGACTGTACAATGTACAATTTTGCAAATTTTGCCATTCTTCACCGTGACACGAAATTGTCGAGGCAGCCAACATGTGCGACGTCACGAGGCTACACAGATAAATACCTGATACCCACGCCCCGCCCCTGAATCGGACTGGTGGCGCTTCTTTGACGGAATCACTGTGGGAAGCTGTGCTCTTATGGTGTTATCGCTCGTCTTGCTGACGCACGGCTAGCTCGATTGAGCCACGTGATTGGCAGCGTGGGCCCATCGAGCGATGCATATGATGCAAATGCTGATTCTCCTATAGTTTGATACCCGCATTGACTTTTTTGAGGTTGTGTATAGTTTGGTATTGCGAGGAGATATAGAACAGGACATACTGGAACGTGAATGCGGGGATTGCACACTTTTTAGCAAATTTATCGCTCTATTCGAATATTGTGTTACGTTGCTGTTTATGTATTCCGCGAAGAAAAAATATACATATGAATATTCCACAACATATATCATTTTAATATATGTATTCTGTACAATCTCTAAACACATACCGTTTACTCTGCTGTTTATTAACCTTACATGCTTTGTGCCTCCAAGACACCGGCACAGTTAGCGGAATTTGAAATAAGGTGCATATTATAACTAACAAAATTTAGAATTTGAAACTTTTAAATTTCTCCTCAGCACCAACAAATCGATTAAAAAAATGACTGTCGCCATATGTACCATTTTTAAATTAGTTCTAAATAAAAGGGTCGCATAACTGGCGGGCACTCATATGAAATTTTATTTAATGTTTTAATGTGTTCCGGTAATCGAGTATCTGTGTGTGTATATTTCGCTCCTGCGCAAAAATACTATGTAACCTATGCTACTCGTATTCATTTATTTTTGCTCGTGTTTTATTCATTTACGTTTCTATTATCTTAAATTAAAAGTTAAGTCTTATAATCTTAAATTGTATGTAATTTACGAATAGACGCTAGTCTAATTCATCGTCTCGTGAACGAACCCATGATACTACTACATCGTGGAATAATCTAATAATTTATTGTGGCACGATTGCCAAGCTGCTATAACTGGCAGTTCTTCTACAGTAGTTGTAATATGTTAATAAGGAATTTTTAAATACCTCTATTTTTGCCCATACCGAGATCAACGTGGCTTAAATATGCAACTAATTCATAAACATTGTAGCGAAGGCTGAGCATATTAGTAATATGAAATATAAGATCACATTATTTGTTATTAGGAATTAGTTAAGCAATTGCTGAGGGTTCAAATAAACGTAATAAAAATTTTAATTCGTGTCAAACATCGCGTGGTCAAATCACGCCATATAATCAACGCTAAAAATATTCTCGTAATTAAAATCTGCAGTCCAGACTTTTGATTATTCGACTAGTATAGAAGAATAAAAAGGTGGATTTTAGCTTTAAAATGAGATGACTATGATATGATGATGAAGTGCAAAAATAGTGATTACAAAACAGCATGTTTTGAGGGCGTATTCTTGGAAAAGATAACCTTTGCTTACATTTTTAAGAAGCCAAATCATACAGCTTTCATAAATTAACAGAAGACCTCTGTATTTTTTTACAGTACAGTCGACTTTTTTTACTCACGAGTTTTGCCCATTGTAAATGCGTTATTTTTTAGTGTTAATTGTAGTACTAGTACATTAGATAAGTACGTATAAAAGTATACGGATTATTCTATTAAGTGGCATCCCAATCCGTCTTGCCCTTTATTAGGTAAATCGTCACAGATTATGGTATTTTGTATGCTTTCATGTTTACAATTTCTTTACTTAAAATGTAGATTAAAGTGAGAGCAATAATAGCTTTCCTACTATTTCACGAATGAGTCAGCTTGTCACGGTATGTAAGTTGGATTTCCGTAGACGTGTTATCTCAGGTTACCCCAGCGTAACCTGAGATAACACGTCTGGGGCACGCAACAGCCTCTGTTGTTAAAAGGATGGACAGGCACGGCCAGGGGAATACCATGCAGGGGCGGATTTAGGGGAGGGCAACCGTGGTAACAAAAAGGATGGACAGGCACGGCCAGGGGAATACCATGCGGGGCCGGATTTAGGGGAGAGCAACCGTGGTAACAGCCCTGGGGCCCCCACAAACGCGGAGCCCCCACAATAGAGACAAAAAACAAATTCAGACTAATAAACAATAGTGAACAACTTTTCCTTTCATATTTCTTTTTGCGTTTTACTTTTACCTACAGTACTTTGTGAAAACATGATTAAATTAAATATTAACAAAAGTAAATAGAAAATAATTTGGAGCCGACGGGCCTCCAAAGTATTAATATTTCTTTGTTGCCCCGAGGCCCGAGGTTACCGAAGCCCACTTTTTGATGGTTGGAAACACAAGTTCATCCCGTTGGATGTTGAAGATGCCCATGGGCGGCGGTGTTCGCTTGACATCACGCAATTCGCCCGTTCGCTTGCCAACTTTGGCATGAAAAAGAAAAAAATCGAGGCTTACCTTTTTAAAGTGTGCCAGCGCGCACCTGTAACCCTCTACGGGTGTTGTGCACGGCGACGGGCGGCGCTGACCACTTACCATTGGTGACCGTCTCTCGTTTGGTAAGAAAACATTTTCATTCGTTATACGCTCTTTTTCTCCCGTTACATTTCTGTTCACGTAAAAGTAAACAAATGCCCTGCATAGACTTTAATCCGTTCCATCGCGCCCTAGGGTTGCTCTCAATGTGCTCCCGGGTATAAGCTTGTTTGGATATGGTTTAGCGCGAAACGTGTCACCGAGCGCGTTGTAACGGGATCAACGAGACCAATAATATTCGCTGTTGTGTGCAACACTCATAAGACAAAAGGCGTTCTTATATTTTTTCCGTTTTGCGTTCTTCAGCTCTGATATTATAGCCGTGATAGCTCATTGTCCGGGCGCTCGCTTTTAATTGATAATAATTTGTGCCAGTAAAATTGTAAATTTTAGGCGCTGATTTATCACGAAGGAAAACATCGTGAGGAAATCTGTATATTTCGAAGATACGTGACGTCTGCAGTGGAGCCGCGTGGTGGACTATGCCCTGATACCCTCTACGCAGAGGAGGCCCTTGCCCAAAAAAAAGTAAAGTAACAGCCTATACATTTCCCACTGCTGGGCAAAGAACTCCTCTATACATAGGGCGTCAGGGCATGGTCCACCACGCGGCCCCACTGCGGATTGGCAGACTTCACATATCTTCGAAATTAATTTTTTTTGTTATTATTTTGAAAATAAGCAGGTTTCCTCACGATGTTTTTCATTTCTTCACCGCGGAGCACGTGATAAGTCGGCACTTCAGTACAGAAAGTTGGGGCAAATATCACTATATGGCGAAACTCTCCCCTGGGAGAAAACGGTCAAATATTTAGGAGTCACTTTCGACTCGCGTATGACTTTCACTACGCACATCAATCAAGTCCGAAATAAAGCCGCGTTCGTCTCCGGCCGGCTACACAATTTAACGAATAAGCATAGTAAAATGCCCTTAAGGCACAAATTACTGTTATATAAAGCTTGCGTAAGGCCAATCATGTCCTACGCTTGCATGATCTTCGCACATATAAATCCTACGCGCATTAACAAATTGCAAGTAGTTCAAAGTAAGTTTATCCGCCGCGCAACCGGTGCGCAATGGTATCAGCGCAACGTCGACCTGCACAGCGATTGCAGACTCCCGACGATTCGCGCACATTTTAAAGATTTGACAAAACGGTTCTTCGATAGAGCCCAGCATCATCATCCCAACCCTCTGGTGGTAAGCGCAGCAAACTACCAACCGGACACAAACGCGAACGTAAACAAGCGTCGCCCGCGAAACGTCCTCATCGACCCGGTCGACGAAGAGGACTTAGATACGATGGACCCACCGCCGGGGGTCCCGCCGAATAACACTACACCCACAGTTAGTGTAACAACAATCACACCAGTTCGCCCTCGCCTCCGAGCACGGCTAGACCCCACACAATGCGTACACAAGGTACATCCGCGTTCCGGGGCGGTTTTCACCCCTCCCAGCCACCGATTAGCTAAATGCACAGTCGACGGCCGTCGGGGTCTCGGTCCGAACCGGCGACCTCGACGGCCCTTAGATGATACACCATAGTAGTTAAACGCACGCATGAGCACATGCGCGACCCTACCCATAGCGGAGGGTCCAAACCCGTGGGTTCTGGCTAGCCCACCGGTTCTGCGTCCGATGAAGCTTTAATAGTCTCGGGACTGAAAGCAAAAACATCAGTTAATACAAGATACAAGAAGTCGGCACTTAAAGTTAAAAACTTCATTGGTGCCGGCACCGGGGATCGAACTGAGGTTGCTCGAGTATATTGAATTAAAGGCGAGCGTCCGGACACTAAGCTATCACGGCTCTTGCCCAGCAGTGGGATATTTGTAGGCTGTCAATTTACTTTACTTGTTCCACAAAAATTGATATGAATTGGTGATATTACCATAGAACGGTTAACAGCGTTAAATGTAATGATTTATGATAATTTTTTTTCTTTGGGTCAACGAAAAAAAATTATTACATTTAACGCTACGCTTAAACGGTGCTTGATTATTGTTAGAAATGGCCGATAAGGCAGTCGTAAAATTGGGGAAGGCACGGCTAGCTCAATAGAAGTCCGTCACACAGATGGACCGCGGATGACGTTATAGTCTATTAAAAAATGACAAGCTGACGGTGGTAAATCGGCCCACACCTTTGCCTTTCGCAATACAAGTGATTAAAGAATCTTTCATTTGCGAGGAACTGAAACAAAAAAGGTATATATTTAGTTTGATATTGTAAGATAGGTTCTTCTTGAATATTACAAAAAAACCGTCAACGAGTTTATCTTGAGTGCTTTGAATTGTTTTTTATCTTTTTTTCAATTGTTTATCATCAAATAAAAATAAATAAAATACTCAAACATGTTACATCATAAGTCACTCCCTTTCCGCAAACTAGCGGTAGCGGTAGTGAGAAGGTTAATGGCAGGCACGGGCGCCCTAGATCCACTTCTTCCGCGGAGCGTTGACTCGGCCGCCATGGCACGCTCCGCTGGCCGGGGGCGCTGGGCCAACAGAGTGACGCGCGAAATGTTCCGGGGATATGACACGCGGGCAAGAACCCCTCCCTGCGCACAGCCCAATGTTGCCTCCGCGTTTGCCTGCGTTTCGTAAGGTTTAGACTTTTTTTTTTTTTCATGGGAAAAATTGCCAAGCGAGAGGCGGTTCACCTGATGTTTAGTGGATACGGCCGTGGACATCTACCGCACCCGAGGGTCTGGCAAGATGCGTTGACTACCTTTAAAAAGTGGGACCCGGCTACCTCACTCACGAGACGAAACGCGACAATATGTTAACTTCGACTTCACCGCGGCTTCTGTCAGGCCGGGGTCCTTCCCCGAGCGAGCTACGAGCCCATTAGTGCAACGGCAGAAGCTGTTGCGTCGATATCAGTGATCTTCAATAACGTTATTTATTATACACATTTTTGGGGAGTTCGCGATACCATCGAATCTAACTGCGAATTAATTCCACTGAAAATTTTACCAGGCACTTATTTCATTATGCCCACTGCATGCTGCATGTCCGTTGTTTGCTTACGTTTCAATCGGAGAATTGAGTAATGTCTCTCTTAGAGGTCGCTGTTTTTTTGGAGTTATTACTCTTATAATGTTCGGTTCTGGCGATAATTGTTCCTGGACTATTTATCGTATACGAATAGTGAAAGGAATTAAGAATTAATGGAGGGTGAACGGTGCCCGTTCTTTGAGCGACAAAAACATTTGTTATATTTCTCTTCGTTATGATTAGGTTTCTATATTACTGTGTGACAAACGAGGCAAGCTGCTCGAATGATTTTAACCGATAGTCACTGGCTGTGGATATTCGCAACACGAGAAATGTTGCTAAAGCAAGCCTTTTGTAGGCATGTGTGATGACGTGTTAGAGTCTAGTAATATTTAGCAATATAGAAGTAGGTAATAACAGCCCATGGACGTTTACAACGTGCGTAAAGTCGCTGTCGTTGATGCTTTGCCAACCTTTAAAGGTGTCCTGTGCCCATTGGCAGCGGTAGCGGTCGTTGTAAAATAACCATGATATTTTTTTTAAATGCACGAGAAAGATGCAGGACAGACAGCCCACTCGACAGTGTCCGTTTAATGTGATCTCATGACTTTTCGCATCTGTTGGCGCCGAACGAGATCTTCCAAGAGCTCGAAATGTTAAACATTTTGAATATAACTCTCGCATAGACATGTTAAAAAGAAGTAAATTATAGTAACGTGTGGTAAGGCCACGAAACAGTTTTGGCTATTGCATAAATGGGCGGCGGGGGTCCATTCGGGGAAGTACCGCGACTCTACAATAGACCGGCGTGAAGCGGATGTGATACTTCTGCGTTTCGTTTATTTGGTGTGATAATCGGAGCCCACCATATTAAAAGGCAACGCAAATGCGGCGTTGCAAATGTCCATGGGCGGCGGTTATCACTTACGTCAGGTGAAATGCCAGCTCGCTTGCTACTGTCTGACATAAAAAAGTACAGTTACAGCTTAAATGTGGGACATCCACTGCTGAGCAAAGGTCTCTTTCGTACAGTTTTTAGGGCAAGGTCCACCGTCTATCTTATTATCTTAGATATTGACTTTTTTGCATGTTTCCTCAATATGTTTTCCTTTACCGCTGAGGGATCGAACTCTGGTTGCTTGAGTATATTGAATTAAATGCGAGGGTAAGCTATCACGGCCGTATGATAAGATAATACAGGCCACTGTTAGCAGCTGAAATATTGTTTGAATGTGGTCTGTGTGATGGTGAAACATCTCGATGAGCACTGGACCGGATCGTATCAGCAGTTATGGATAATCATCATCATTGTTATAGTTTGTGTGCATTTCGCAGTATTTTCTGAAAACTAGATTTACCTGCGATAGATGGTATATGGCGGGTGATATTAGTATATGTACCCAATCGAATCTAAGTACTGAACTTTTACCTAACTTTTACTTCTGAGCTGATGAATTAAAACATGTTTCACCTTCAGATTTATTATGCACTGTCGGTAAATAATAAGAGACAAATGACGCTACGAAGACAAAACATTGTCTCCATTAACTCATGCAATTCCACAAATTGGGGATTAAATCTTATTAACCCAATATAATTGTTCATTACAATCTAGCAACCTTGACAGTGGTGCGCGAGTTGTATCGAATATTTTTTTTTTTGTATCTCGCCATTCTATTCCATTGGAGCATCTATCGGTCCGCGTTTCTCACGCAAACATTTAGTGCCTTTGTCAAAGCTCATTGGATCGGACCCCAAGTGGGTTATGGCACAAAGGGCGCGAATGTAGTGATGTTTGCGGCGGCCCCAACCGGTTTCGAACCCCGGCCGGCTCTAGGACGGCGCGCACCGCCACTCCGTTGGGGGCCCCCCCGCTTATGTAAGCGTTGGGCTAATACGCGGCCTGGCCCGCGCTCCGGCCCCGAGGCCATTGGGCCGCCGACGCGGCGGGGACTGGTTTCGTTGTCCATTCCGCAATAATGAGTGGTGCTATATTAGGTGTTTGCGTATATTATTACATTACTACATTGAGGCCGTAAGTGCGCCCGCGCTAGGTGGAGTCTACCTGCGCTTTTTTTTTAAATCCCTCTTTTGTCGCGATTGCTTTGTTTCTTATTCTGCTTATCGACTCCCCGCAACCTTCCCCCCCACCCCTCCACCACCCCTCTCGCGAAACTGGTTTGGATTTTTGTTCCTTCCTGTGTTGTGCGATTTCGCCGTTGAGACAAATTCTTCTTAGAATTAGTAACCCTAGTGGGTTTTTGCGCGTTCAGTTTTATATGTGTGTGTTGAGTTGTCAGATTGCGAATGGTTGAGGTAAAACGAAAGTGGTTTTTATTGTATTTTATTTTGTACTACGTTATTTAACAGTAATGAAGGAAAAATAAGTGCCCTAGAATCTTGGTATGTAAAATGTAAAATGAAACGTAAGTGATTGCAGTAAGAGGGCGGCAGTTCGTTTTGTGCTCTGAAGCGCGTTTAACATGAAATTGCTGTTTCATAGATTGTTTGAGCAGAAAATTTTTCAATTGCAGCAAATTAGACCGCTACATTTCAGACAATACAAGTGCATTGAATTGGAAGTAGTTACATTATTTATCCAATATTACATCCCTTCTGTTTCCTACGATTATTCCAGAGACCCGGTACGGTGTAGTGGGTCGCATGCTAAATAAAATTGGTGGGAGCGTTTATAGAAGCTAACTCCAACTTTGTTTTCCACATAAAGTACTGTTAAATAATATTAGACGTACAGTAAACAATAGTATAGATGGTGTTGCCCCTTTTCGAACTAACCGGATCACCTAAGGCCGTGCGTACCCTTCCTCTCCTGACTCGAAGTAAAATATCCTAAATCGCATGACGATGCAACAACGCGCACGCACACGTGGACCGGGGTATACGGCGGCGCGATAATACACGCGTATTGGCATTCTTTCGTACCGGGTCTGTCTGTGTGTGTGCGCGCGTTCCAAGGGCTTTAAGAATGATCCCCGTTTGAGAGCGCGATCTTGATGCGATCTCTCATACCTGTCCGTTCAACCGTTGACTTGTGAAATCGCCATCTTATATATATTTATACAAATATATATCCTATCGCTATTGTTCTGACCACGGTCGCCGAATGCCCGGTTCCCATGGCCAATGGTGCATTTCTCTTGGCTATCCGATGTCTTTGGGCGATCGGTGAATGGATACAATGGGAAAACTTGACGGATGCAGTACCATAAGTGGCTGGGACTGGACTGTTGAATGCTGATCTGCTGATCTGTTGAGCAATGCTTTTGAGGTGGTGATCTTGTAGGTTTGTGTTCAGAATTTTTTAATATGAGTAACAATTGTCTTAAAGCGTTATAGAATTCGATAACAATTGGAAACGTAGGAAAGCCTTTTCAACAAAGTTGTGTACTAGGCAGAAAGAAGTGTGCTATGTATTTGAAGTGATCAATTTGGAAATTCCACTTGGCAAAGAAAGTTGCGTTTTCCGCAAGTCGGGTGGCGCCCGACGGGTACACATTGGCAGGGTTCCAAGAGAGTCACGTGGTGCGCGCGGATCCACTCTCTGTGCCAACAGCGCCAAGTTCGGCCAGAAATCTCCCTTTCGTTCGTGCTCGGCCGGGGGGCGAAAACGCTCACCGCAATTGGTTCCTCCTACCGGTGTGCCCTTCTTCGCATTTTTACTTTCGATTCTCCAACGAGCGTAATCGCAATAAGTCTGTGAAGAAGTCTCGACCTATCCTATCGGGCGACACATTTGGCGACGGCCCCCCACGTAGTTGTAGTCACGTGGTAATTTTTTTGATTTACAATGAAGTTGTGGATACGTGTAGGTATGGCGATTTTTTTTTTTTTTATGCGAAAAGTTGTCAAACGAGCAGACGGTTCACCTGATGTTAAGTGAATACCGCCGCCCATGGACATCTGCTACACTCGAGGGTTACAGATGCGTTGACAACCTTTTGAAAATTGGGCTCCGGCTACCTCACTCACCAGACGAAACGCGAAAGTATTTGTCATACTTACACTTTACGCCGGTCTTCTGTGAGGTCGTGGTACTTACCCGGACGGGCCTGCCCATTCGTGCAACAGCCGAGGCTGCTGCGTGGCCCTACCACCGTAAATTGTTGTCGATTGTTCACATATTTCTGTCCTGCATTATTTCGTTGTTTGCTGACGCCACATATTGGTTATTTAAACGACGTCACAATGTCTTGGATAGGTATAAGTACCCGTTGACCCATTGACATTCATTTGTACATAATAAGTATAATTTGTGAATAATGTCATAATAAACAATTATATATGAATAAGTCGAACAATATGCTTTTTTTTTTTTGGATTTTATGGTCGAATAATATGCAGTAGTCTGTACGAATTTTATCCAAGGAGGTTTCAAGGAATTGTTTCAATTCATCTCGTTTTTAACGGCAAATGTAATTTGTCTGTGTCAGAGTAGATCGGCGATATGCGAACGAACGTCGCTTATTAAATAATTGGTGTCGCGTGTTGTTCTCTCTGCTCAACATAACACCGGAAATTTGAGTTAGTTGGCCCGCGAACGGTGAAAAGTTAGGCGGGGTGTCCCTATGGCTGAAAAGTGGAAGCATCATTCGATGCAGGTGTTCTAGATAAGGAGAGCACTAGGCAGGCGGGTGGGGCCACTGTAGAACTATCTGCGGGGTGGGGGTTGGCGGGAGAGGCGCGCGGCGGGGGCTGCGGGGTGCATGTGCAGTTGCAGAGGGTGTGGCCGGCGCGTCATTGGCCCGGGGTTACTCGCGGAGTGATAACCTCCGTGATAACGGCACGGACCGCGACGCCCACCGCGCGGCGGCTACGTGCTCTACGCGCTCTCGTTGCCACTGCCCGCCGCTGCCCTCTCCTGTCGCGTACGAGTGACGCGTTGGCCATTCACCAATGTTGCCACGCAGTGCCCTCTGCGGCCGTTTCGCGTACGGCCATTGCGCCCCCGCGCAGTGCCTGCGGGGTGGTGGCCTGCTGCGGTACGTGCGTGGCGGCTTTCGCAACATACCCCCACGGTACGTTATTTGGTAACGCAACGGGGCCTTTGTTGCGACGGCTACCCACCCAACCGCCGCCGTGTGCAAGCGCTACGCTGGCGGTGATTTTTTAGGGAAGTTCGATGACCCCCGACGACAAACTCTTGTTGCAGTCTCAAATGTTTGTACAAATGTGAAATTTCGCGTGTCGAAACTGCTATTTATTGTCTTGATATAATTCACTCGGTGCAACGGTGTAGGCGGTTGCAACTGACAGGCGACGATGGCGGCGCTCTTGCTTGACCCTGTTTCAAAGGCCTCCCCTTGTCGACTTTTGAATGGTATTTATAGAAAAAAATCACCGATGAGGAGCTGTTCAAATTTCTCTTTGTTTCCTTTTAAAAACACTCCATAAATCCAATTATTTTTGTTCATAATTTTGAAAAAAAAAGTATAATAATGGTAGTAGAAGTATAAAAATTAAAAAGATTTATAGTTGATTATAAACAATGAAAATAAATTGCAATAAATTTTTTTTTTTTTTTATGTTAAATGTTTCCAAACGAGCGAGCGGACGGTTCACCTGATGTTAAATGAAAATTGCCGCCCATCTGCTACACAAGTGTTACTGATTACGGATGCGTTGACAACCTTTTGAAAATTAGGCTCGGCTCTATTTATTAAATAATAATAATTATAACAGAAAATATAATTTATTTTGTAACTACTTATTAGCAATCTTATTACCTTTTTACAAAAATTGCGTCCACAGAGGTGTATGAAATTTCGAACACTTATATAGTGAAGTGCAAAACCCTAATAGTTTTTTTAAATTATGCATAAAAAAAGTAAAAATTAATAAAAAATACATTACATACACTACCATTTGGCGACCACTAGTTCCTATTTAATCATTCTTTATAATTTTGAATCATTATTTTAAACTTCAAATAAAAAGCCGTATGTTCATCACACTTTGTAACAGTAATAATAGGTTTGTGATATCTGTAGTATGATGAAGTTTTTGAATCTATATCACTGATCCATCATCATCATCCTCCTGCCCATATCCCACCCAGGTGGGGTCGGCACAACATGTTTTAAGCGTTTTTGGCTATGTTTTTTAGGACCAGCCGGCCTACCTGACATCAACCCTCATTGGGAAACTGATACATAATATTTTTTTATTTATATTCTTAAATGAATAAGTGAAAGAACAAGCAACCGTCGTATTATAACATTATTTATTATAAGGCAGCGCGGCGTGCACGCGGCGAAGAGAGTAGTAGCTATTAGTGTAGGTAGAGGCATACAGCAACGAATAGAATCTAGGAGTAGGGGAAGCGTAACGCTTAGACTCGTAACATTCCAACGTGATGACGTCACCCGTTTTGCCGATTCACCCTCTTATATCGGTTTTGGTGCGCGGTGCGCGTAAAGAAGTTTCAATTCAAAATGTTTTCTTATTCTACATTTGGCAACAAGAAAACATCAAATTACTATTGATGATCTCCTATTTTATCATTAAAGTAGAATTACGCTGGATAATTTTAAATAATTGTCAATCACATAGCGTACTTCGTACCAAAAACGTTCCCGCTCGTTACATACATTTCGACTCCCAGGTTTTGTAACAGTTTAGCGATTCCAATAATATTAAACCGAGACACGAATCTTATCCTTCTAACGGTCGAACCGCTCGAGGGGCTCTCAAAAGGCGCCCCTGAGGGTGACCTCTAAATACTTTCAAGTCGTCTTTACAAAGAGCCCGGGAATTCCTACAGTCGCTCGGTGGGATAAGTGTCTTGCTCACAATAATGGCTCATTTGAGCCCTCACCGCCGATCATTAATAATAATAGAATTTTTGAAATCGTCTGAAACCTGATCGCCAATTAATTCACATAACATAGGGACAAGGGGTGGATCACGCGAGCAGATGTCATCTAAAGTTCTTACCGAACGCCGTACCGTAACGTTATCGCGTCATATCCCTTTAAATTGGCCTTGTCATCGTCTTATATATACCATAGCACCTACTTCGCTTTGCTATTTCAGTTATAATCGTACTCTCGCGTACTTCGAGCGTAGAATGAATGCCACCTGTTGCGTCGCAACGCCGCCGAAGTTGGCTCTCTGCAGGATTTTTGCTATAGCAACTCTGACCAACTTTCACTGCGTGTGAGGGAGACGGCATTCTACGCGAGATGACGACGCTATACGTCACATGACGTAAGTGACGACCGAGCGACTTCGATCCGGTGCCCCCTGTTCTGTTTTCAGTGAGCCCCGGAGACCGGAGCACCTGACGCAAGCGTGAACTAGCTACTAAAGTGTAACAGGGCGACATGGCGAACGCAATCCAACCAATACATGGAAAACTCGAAACGACCTTCCCGCGACCAGTCCAATACGAAAAATTGTCAAGTGTCTTTTGTTAAAAACATCGATATGGCGCACGTCGCTCCTATAGCGATTGTGAATAATCTTGCGGAGAAGCCATTTTGGGAATCGGGAATGTAACATTCTTGTGTAAAATTCTTCTTGCTTGCGGGTCGGACGCTCTCTTTGCAATTTCTATTGCAATAACTATTTTCATAATGTAAAGCCGCTGTTAAGTGTTTAATTAAAATCTTGAGGCGCACCATAATAATTTTATAACCAGACGTGTTGAATACATTGGTACCAAATGCTTTTACCATACGCTGAGATTTAGGGGAACCCGCCTTAGCCCCCCACTTACTATTCATTAACCTTGGTCCACTGTCTCGCGATTCACTGGTGAGGTTGGCCCGCTCGCGGTTTTGTTTCTTCCTTCGTTGCATGGTACCCGCGGCCGCGTGTAGTCGTTAGTTCTGTTTAACGTTTCTTTTTTCAAAATCGTTTTTAGATTCTTGTTTCTACATAGGCTGTTTATTTTACACTTTCGATCTATTGATTTCTTAGAAAGTATTTAGTTTGGACGTCGAGGTTCGAAGTAAAAATAATTACATTTTTGCAAATGAAAGCAAGTGTTGTCGATGTTTGTGTATAGTGTACTTAGGAATGAGTTAAGTAGGGTCTGTTTTTAGTTCAATGTGTCGTTTAATTCAAACGAGATGTGCTTCGTTGGCTGCGACGGCTATGGTGAAAGAATGGCGAGCGGGTGGCGGAGAGCCCCGCGGGCGGAGGACGCCCGCCATCTGCGGGCGATGAATCACTGGTGACGCCGCCGGCCGTCGGCCGTTGGCGCGCGCTGCGCTCACTCACTCGCCCGGCCTCACTCTCTGCGCTCGAACGGAACGTACGCGTCGCTTATTGTGCGACATTCTTGTCGCGCTCGCCAGTTGTCTCGCGAGTTCCGTTCCGAACTCTATCGTGCGACCAGTGTTGGTAATTAGCCCATGCAGATGCGGATGCTGTCTTAGGGTGGCAAAGTTGGGTAAAACCATTACATCGCGGGGTTGGTGCCTACTTGATCTTTGCCATGGCCCCGTTATCGTACGCGGCGGCGGTGACGACAGCGGCGTGGGACGGCCGGCCCAAGGCGAGTACTGACGGCTGCCACCGAGCAAACCGAGGGCTCCACGGGCTTTTGAAGGGCGTTTTCTCTCCTTGGGCCGGCGTCTCGGCCGCCCGTGCCCTGAGGTGAAGCGGGACACGAGGCGGGCGACGCCTGTACCGGACGAAGTAGGCGGTGTCGGGCGACCGCCCTCCGCGAGCCCCGGACGAGCGCCGTGGTAAAGGCATGGGCGCGGGGCGCCGCCGCACGGCTTCACTAACGAATATACTTCACGAAGTACTGTCGCTCTAGTGATTTGCCATAATCTCCTGCCCTAATGTCGATAAAGTTATAATGATATTAGAAGTGTTATTGTTTCTTGCAATATTAACACATAATATGCATTCACATCATAGCACTGCGTTTGTAAACATTTTTACTAGAAAGGTTAACGTCATCAAGTTGAAGACTGGTTGTACGAAATCAGTAGCAACTATCAATAGATCAACAATTACATGCTTGGTGCCTATTGTAAAAAATCAACATTAAAATAAAGTACCTATTCCTAATGGTTACTGTAACGACACAAGTCGATATTTATGACACTAGTAAAAACTGAGTTTCAATGAGTTTCAATTGCACTTTAAATAACTTTTGTCATAAATAAATTACAAACCTGTGGCGCCTTAGCTTTGTGCCGTAAGCACATTGAGTTAGTTGCGATCTGAAACACTATCTAAAACCTACCTACCTACCGTAACTGGAATTTTACGCAATGGCACATTCGATAAAACATTAAAATCGATATCAGAGCGTCACTAAGGTGCGGCATGCTCTCCCCGCGGGCCCCATTACAGCCACGCCCAGCGTGCGCATTCTCAAACAAAATCTACACGAAATGGATGCACAGAGAAACGAGTCGGACCAGCGTAGCGCGCTCGGCTCAGTCACGCACGTCACATCAGTCAGTCGAGTAGCGATCTCGATAGCCTGCGAACCGTACGCACGGCGCACACGTGCCTTCGCGCTCGCGTCCCATCCCTACTCCACGCCGCCGCGCAGACAACCGTGCTCGCCGCCGGTCCCTCCGTCACCGTCATAGCCGGTGCCTCGATCGCTTCCGACCCTATTATGTAATACGAAAATAAACACCGCGTCCGTAGCAAAAGCACGTGTGCGCAGCGACCATCGTACGTTTCGTTTTCACTCATCATTACAAGCCGCCGTTCTACATCATCGCACTCGCAGTCACCGCCGCCATCGCCATCGCCATCGCCATCGCCGACGCCGTTGCCGCCCTTGACTGTCTTCCGCCACCGTTTGTCTGCTGATTTCATCTATCCGATTCCTCAGTGCCTTTCACAACGTTACAAAAACGCGATCGACAAAATTGACTAACTTTAAGCCGTGTGACAGTGCTATTTGCCGTTTGTTTTTCGACATATTGTAAATCGCAAATATTTTTAAAAAAATCAGTGAACATGGCCAATTCCTTGGAACATCAGTTTGGCGACCTCAGCTTGTCGCAAGATGAACATGATCAAATGTTTGATCAAGAGGATCACCAAGATCAAAGGTTGGTTCGTTTATCTTAGCATTATATACACAAAGCAGATTGTCCCTATTTGAAATATAAAATATATTCTTTTTAAATGGCAACTTAACTGATCATATAATCAAGTAATAAATGCTATAAACTTTTATTTACCATCGTTATAAACATACTGGCAAAATAAATAGTACCGATACTGTATTAAATAATGTTTTTTATCCGTTAAGAATATATTTTAACATCTACGTACCTACGTATTCTTTGTAATAATGATCCTTTCATTATTAACAATAATTATGACAAACTACTTCCAAATTTTCTTTTTTGACAGTAGTAGGACTCTTTGATGTAGGTATATCAATACCGTTTGTAATTATTATTATTAAACTAAGGTTCGATGCACTTGCGTTGCGGGTACCGACCTGAGGCTTAATCAATTCTAGACGATAAGAAATGGCCGAGGCGTTTGGTATTTTGAGGATAAGACCGTATGATGTAGATAATTTTATGTAAACACCCGTTCATCGTAATTTGTAATTGTAAAAATTCTATATTATGTTACCTGAAGCCAACAATTTTTTAAACATCATCAGCTCGGATCCGATCAATGCTGGGTGGGTGGATATAGGCCGTTTACTTCCGTCTTGAGCGGATCGGATTCAAGTTTTTAATGTATAATACTTATTATATATAATATTTATATGAATTTGTTATCTCAGAACTTTCGACTGAACCGATTTTAATGATTCTTTTTTTTTGAAAGCTGATGCTTCCCAAGAGGTCCCATATTAATTTCATTGGAACTTGGGCTCCGAAGATACGTAACGTAGGTAACTCCTGAAAATCAATTACAAAATCTATACAGAGCGAGATATTTAAAGTGGGTTTTGTTTTTCGTTAATGTAAAAGTTTTCTTGTTTGGATTTAGTATTTACGTCACAAGATGACGTTGACGACGTCGTGCCGCGTAATTGTCGGCAATCTGCTTACTATAATAGAAAAGTGTGTGTGAGACTTCTTATGTACAAGCGGGGTGCTAAGCTTCTTGTTCGATATTTATCGCGTGTAATACTGTTATTTACATGTCCGGGTTTGTTGCGTACTACAATAAATACTGTTGATATGTTGGATGGGTCAATGTTTTTGTAATATTATATTTCTGTAAGTAAGAAATATCACTTTAGTATTAATATAGTAAAGTGTAATTGTTTTTGTATATTTTTGTTTTTATAGCAAAGAGACAAAAATGTATAAACTAATTATCTCCCACTTGTTTTGCAAAGAACCTACAAAACTATGAATTATTAAATGTTTTTTTTGTATAACTGATGTTACGCTTTCAGTCGTTAGACGATTAAAGCTTCATCGAATGCATAACCGGTGGGTTAGCCAGAACCCACGGATTTTAGGCCCTTCTCAGTGGGTAGTTCCGCGCATATGTACTCATGAGTACGTAGATTATAACATGTCGCCTACGGGCCATCGAGGTTCGGTGCAAACCGTGACCCCTATGGCCGTTAACTGTGCTTGGTTACTCGGTGGCTGACGGTGGGAACCGTCCCTGGAACGCGGGTGTACCTAGTGTACGCGTTGTGTTGGTTTCGTCGTGCTCGAAGGCGAGGACGAACTATGATGTTTGTTGATGCATTAACTGAGTGTGAGGTGTCATTTGGAGGGACCCCGACGGTGGGTCACGAAGTACTTAATTCCCCTTCGTCGACTGTGTCGGTGAGGACGTTGCGCGGGCGCCGCTTGTTTACGATCGCGTTAGTGTCGAGTTGGTAATTTGCTGCGCTTACCACCAGAGGGTTGGGCTGATGTTCGACATAATAGGTCTTACGCAGGCCTTATCCTTACTAATATTATGAAGGCGAAAATTTGTATGTATGGATGGATGTTTGTTACTCTTTCACGCAAAAACTACTGAATAGATTTTAATGAAACTACAATAATACCTTATACATCAGAATAAGACAGGCTATAGTTTACATACATTTTTTATGTATATCTGTCTTTCTGTCTGAATGTTACGCCTTGAGCCTATTCTACGCAGAAGAAGTCGCGGGGAGTAGCTAGTATAAAAGTTAGGTAATGAATGAGCCGGCCGGAGACGAACGCGGCTCTGTTTCTAATATTATTAAATGGTGTGTGCGCGCGCGCGTTACCAAAAAAGTCATTGTGTAAAATTATAATATAGCCATTATAACACATATGCCAATAAGTACCATTGTTGTTGATCATAGTGATCACGAAATATAAAGCAACATAGAGGTTTTTTTAATTGTGAATTGTTGTATACAATTTAACAAAAAATTTAATTTTCACCTTCAGTGCCGCAGACCTGCAGACTTCTACTAAAAATAGAAATTAACCCTAAATTTCGTAAGAGCAAAAGCTTTAACAAATGTTCCTCGTTGAATGTTATTTGCACGTTATAAGGGATGCACACTAGATGCCGCCAAGTATTACTAAAAATCTTAGATAAAGAACGTATAGATTAGACTGTCTTCTGCGTTGGGGACGGCGGCCTTAGTTAGTCCTCATACGTTTTAAAAAATCGACGAATTCTACAAATCAATTTTACAACTCTACTAGTTGCCCCACAAACATTTGGAATGAACCACCTTTATCACTTTGTGGTATTAAATAAAATAAAATACTATAACATAAATCGTATGTTTATAAAAATGTATTGCTGTTTGTGGGAATTAGTGAATCTCAAAAAAGTTTTGAGATTCACAAATTCCTTAGAAATAATTCATGTGGCAAAACGTTTGCTGGATCAGCTTAGTATACATAGTCATTTCACAAAAATCGATCAAGCCGTTTCGGGGGAGTATGGAAGGTAACCTTTGTGTCACGAGAATTTTATATAAAGAGATGAATTATATTAAATTTTTGCTAGAATACTAGGTTTATTATGAGCATACTTAGGTAGATTCACGAAAGAGCAATCCACCCTTGTCTCCACCTTTGCAGACCGTGTTACAAAATATTGTTGAATTGATTTATTTAGTGATACTAAAAAGCAGGTTTGTATAATTACATTTCTGTATACTTACATTGTTAATAAACTGCCTTAGTATCTTGATTCGGAATTTATAATCAGTTATTTTTGTCGTATTACGTTTGGAGTGTTTCATATTTACTTTTGTGTAACTACTGAACACCGTTCATTGCAATTGACTAATTTATGTCCAGTGTTAAATAGTCAAATACAAATATGATACGAAAAGGGATTAAATAATTTAAATAATTTAATTGTGGTTTCGACAGTTCATGCAATCCATTTCGGTTATGTAGACAATTGTTCAATTTATGGAATTTTATACAAATGATTGTTTTGATAAATCATTCATTATCTATTACGCAATCACCATCGTTGTTTTGTCAAGGAAGTTAGAACTACGTAATAGTTTTTGTTTACAGTTTGTCGTAATCAATACTAGTTTACGACATCAACGCATCAATTAATTTGGATATAACTAAATCCAAATATTATACTACATTGTAATATTTAATTGCAACACATATTTAAAATAATATAAAAATTACTATCCCGAGTTTATTATATTTATGTGCCTTATGTTTCCATTTTACTTTAATGAGATGCCCGTATCGATCAATAAATAAACTTTTGGTATTGCTAATGGCGTGCCGTTGATTAATAGTTCATTTGTATTGCGCTGGGTTTATTCCATTTGTTTTCAACTTGCTTTGACTTTGCTTTGTGCGTAATATCTTTGCGACGTAAATATCTACATTTTGCTCTAATAATAAAATTTCGAATTCGCCTTTTCAAAAGTGCTCTGTATGTAGTTTTGAACTCCAGCATCTATATATGTTAAGAAATTTCTTAAAATAAATGTTTAGGGTGATCCGCCCGAAACATTTTTTTATACCCTGCAAATAATTTATATGGGAAAACAACGTTTGCCGCGTCAGCTAGTGACATTATTATATAAGAATTGTATAGAGCCGTGATAGCTCAGTGTCCGGGCACTCGCCTTTAATTCAATATACTCGAGCAACCTGAGTTCAATCCCCGGTGCCGGCACCAACGAAATCGTCAATTTTAAGTGGTGCTGAATTATCACGTGCTCAGCGGTGAAGGAAAACATCGTGAGGAAACCTGCATATTTTCGAAATAATAACAAAAAAAATATTTCGAAAATATGTGAAGTCCACCAATCCGCAGTGGGGCCTCTGTATCTCTATCTCATCTCTGTATAGAGGAGGCCTTTGCCCAGCAGTGGGACATGCAATCATACTTTGATACTTTACTTTTACTTTATTAAGAATTGTATCGAAAAACGTCCAAATTAATTAAATCAGTGATCCAAACAAGTCAAACTCTTCCATTATTATTCTTACTAAACACAAAATGGCCAACTAACTATAGCAGTGATGTAGTTTTGGGTTAACCATCAGTTAAATACGCTAATTGGCAGATGTAGTAGCAAATAAGTTACAGACTAGTTTAACACTTGATTAATGTCATTCGTACATATTGAAAGTCGTATGAGCACTTACTGGTGACTTGTAAGTGGTGATTTGCCTACTTGACACTTTAGATGGTGAAAGAGGCCCTTAATGTATTATTTGTTGTCTCGAGTAGCATTGATCTTTCCGTGATTTGCTTCGCGCTTAAACATACTATATTTTATTTAGTCTTGAAAATAGTGATGTATTCCCCTGCGGGTGTGAGATTGCTCAGCTTGACATACCTCGCTTGTTTTTTGCACAATAGAACCACCCTTGTACTCCCCTGGTCAA